AGAGAGGAGAAGAGAAGAGAGGAGAAGAGAAGAGAAGAGGAGAGAAGAGAGGAGGAGGAGGAGAGAGTGAAGCAGCTACTGAGCAACATATATGTCTATGGCAGGATATTCAGCAGTTACTGTGGTGACACAACATCAGCAAACACTAGGGTGGTCCAAAAAAGATTTTTATTTATTTATTTTAGCATTTGGTTCCATGTCTGAAGTATCTGGGTTAAAATTTTATGCAAATGAATTCACAGACACAAGAAAATTTTCAAGACACTTGAAAATGTCCGTACAGGGCCCAGACTAGAACACAGAACCAAATAAATCAGGCCTGTTCCAATAATTAGTCATTTTATTGTGCAAACACAAACTGAAACTTGCATAAAAATGAAAGTCTATAAAAGTTGCTTATAAAGTCCATAAAAAGTGACTTAAAACACAATATTAGTCAATTTCCAGGAAACTTCATGCAGCTTGAGCAACCTCTAAAACATCTCCTTTTTCTTCCACAATTCTTCCTAAATCATCTTTTGGGGCTAAAACCTAATGCAGGTTCTAATCGAGGTGATCTGAAACTTGATTTTTGACCATGCTTTGTTGGACCACCGTAACAAACACAGCAAAAGAAAGTTAAATGATCATCTGAAATCTCAAGAGAAGAAATATAAAATAGATTTGCCCAACATATTTCACGTCAGTATGAGCGTTCATGCTCCTGCTTAAGAATTTTCAACAGAATGGAGAGACAGCTTTTTTTTTTATCTGAGTAACAGAGCTTCAGACAGAGCAGTGCCTACGGTTAGCATCACACCACAGGGAAGGTTGAGAATATCAGCTGCAAAGTATCAATACAGAGACATGCTGATTGAAAAATAGGCTTGCATTATTATCCAAGTACAGTATGCCAAACATGTACTGATGATTGAGATTTTTAACAAACAAAACAGATTTTTTCCTCAAATTTCTAAAATCTGAAATGTCAAATTAGCTGTAACAGTTTTTTGTTAAAGTGTTTTGTTTAGTTATTCTTAAAGCAACAATATAAAAATATAGCCTGTGTATGTATTTCTCTTGAATGACATTTCTGTGCATTCTTTAATTTGAGTTTTTAATTTCTTTCTTGTATTTTCTTGATAAACTGATCACTGGTTTATTGCATTTTCCATTGATCAACATTCAGTAAAACATTTATACAAAATCTTAGCAAGTATCTGAGTAATGAACAGTATTTTTGCCTAAATAAATCCAACGTTATTCACCAGTTTTGGACTTTTATTTGCCATAATTGAATCCACAAACATATTTTAACATTAATAAGACCTTACATTATGCACTGTGGATCTACTTCGTCTCTCCTCCGTCTCCCGAAATCATTTTTCAGCAAAGACGAACCCCAGGCAAAAAACCACCAAAAATAACTCCAGCCAAGAGATTCTAATACGACTTCACTGTTTCACTCCTCGGCTCTAGCACTATTCATTCAATATTTAACAACTGCTTTAATGAGTGTGTATGTGTGTCTGCATATATATATATTTATTTATTTATTTAGATGTATTTTGTGCTATATAAGTCGTCTGTATTTCATAACTGTGATCATGAGGGGTTGAGTTTTTGCCTAGAATTAAGAAATAGAAAACATTTAGTCTGCTTAGCGTCAGAATCCTCAGGTAGATTTCATTTATTGACCTGGTTTGTGGTTCATATTTCTGTAGTGGTGGAAAGCAACACAGTTTAAAAAAAAGAAGGTGTTTTTAGTCTCATCTTAAGATCTAATTTATTCTGTGGCTTTTAACACTGGTGTGAGTTGTGTGTCCTCTGTGTATTTTACTTATTTTTATGTTTTATTTGGTTTTTTTTTTTTTTTTTTTACATTTTTATTATTTTTATTGGTATTCTTGCTGTTTGATTTGACTGGTTTTACTGTCTGGAGTTAAATAGAGCTTTAATTTTATATTTCTCTTGTATACATTTATATGTAGCTGCACTGTGGAAACTGTTTTGTTTATGAAATGTGCTGTAGAAATAAAGTGGATTGGATAAAACTAGTAAAGAACTTGAGTATACATTTCAGGTATCTGTAAGTTACTTTAAATTTCAGAACTTTTAATTGCATCCGAGCCTCCCACAGCTGCAGATCCTCAGGTCCCTGTGGTTGTTCCAAAGTCCAGGCTCCGGATGAAGTTGATGGAGACTTTTCAGTCCAGACGCCTCGGCTTTGGAAGGAAATGCCTGAGGAGATCATCTTTGTCTCACTTCTTAAGACTCATTTTTATTGGTTGGCCTTCCTTTAACTGGTTTTAGCTTGATTTTATTCCTTATTTATTTTGATTCTATTTCTTTGTATTTATTTATTATAATTACCGTATTTTCCAGGCTATTAGGTCATTAAATGGTCTATTTTCGGACTTTTTTCACAAATAAACCGCACTGGGTTTTAAATGAAACCCAACAGTGTGATGGGTGAGTGGTTTTGTTTGTTTGTTCGTTCACGGTGACTCTGGGCTTTGTTCAGTTGTGGCGTGTAGGGAGGGTGTGTCTGGGACCAACGGATTGTTGGTGTGTTCGCAGTGACTCAGTTGTTCAGTTGTGTCTAGAAGTGGCACATTGCGTTTGCTTTTTCGGTTCGTTCCTCCATTCCGTTCCTTGTCGGTGTGGAGTGATGAGTGTGTCTGTGGGTGTGTTTCTCTGTGCGGTCGCTGTCTGCTCCGTGTGTGTTTGTGTGTTCTGCGGGTGGTGCGGCTTTGTAGTTTACTGAAGTCGTGCTGGGACACCTGAGTGGATTCATGTATGGGGCGCTCTGGACTAGGGATGGGCATGATTAATCCATTAATCGATAACTGATCATTAAGAATTTCTTCGATTACGTAAATTTTACTCGACAAACTGAATGTAGGTTGCTGTGCGTAGCGTGACCAAACAGGGGTCTGTACATGTGTCTCTCTGCACTCAGAGGGAGCGAGACACAGATACAGATGCAGCGTACCAAAGCACAAATGTGTATTTACCGATGAGTTGTACAAGAATTCCACGCTTCCCGTTGCGTTCGGGACAAGTGTGAGTCCATGTGCACAGTGTATAAAGCAGCACATATGTTTCTGTGTCCAGTGGGAAAAAGTTTTACCAGGTGAGAGTCGCTCAATGTGGATGACGAGTCTCCACCTCCCTCCCCCCGTACGGTGTCCTGGTTTTGACAAACGCAAATCTGGTCACACTAACCAAACGGGCTGATGTGGCTCTAAAGCGGTCGTAAAGTTGAATTTATTTATGCAGATTAGTAGTGCAGATAGTAATTATAATGATGATCATTTTAATATAAAAACGTTAATGATTAATCGATAATCGATCGTTAATTCTTCCGACGATCGATTAAGAAAATTTCATCGAATGCCCATCCCTACTCTGGACTGTGGGGCGTGTGGTCGTTTTTTGATGGGGTTAGAGGCTTAAGAGCATGTCTAATAACCCGGAAAATACGGTAATTGGATTGTTTGTGCATCATTGTCTGTTTTTGTGTTTAATGTGTGCTGTTTTTATATGTTTTTGTATTGTTCACTGCTCCTTGTACAGCACTTTTTGTTATTATTAAGTATATTTTACAGTGGGTATATTTAACTTTTACTCCTAGTGATGAGGTGAAATCAAACTGCCTTGAAACTGTGCGCACACAGGAAAAACTATCTCCAATCCACTGTCTTTACATTTGGCACAGGCATGAAAGTTCCGCGCCTCGTTCAAACTCTGGAAAGTTGCGCATCTTTGAGCAGCTGTAGCAAAAAGCCTCCTCCACACAGAGACTTGTAGCTCACATATTCTGACAGAGAGCACTTTAAACTCCGTTCCACTTTTCATTTCGAAGTGATAGGGTCAATATTGATGCAAATAATCCCTGCTAAAGTTTGAGCAAAAAATCACGGAAAAAAAATAATGAAGTTGTTTAAGGTATACAGTGCATTTGGGCATTAAAAGAGTGATAAAAATTACTGAATTTGGTCATTTTTATAACTAGATTTGATTATTGTAAATGATTTCAAAATCTCATCTCGTCTTGTTCTTGTGGACCCATCCCGTGTCTCGTCTCGTCTAGTGAAAATTCTATCTCATTAACTCCACTACAATTTTGAACAGGACTGAAAACTGAAAGTGTTTTTATGATAGTTTGAGACCTGCTTAAAAGTCTGAGGGTTTATTTTAATTTTTAACACATTCGTAGTCTGAGAAAACACAAATATACAAATAAAACCTGCTAGAAAAAAAACGATCGATTTAATTGTTTCTGTTGAAGAAATTTCAGCACAGACCTGTATTAAAATCACGACATTTGAAGCTTTATTGGACCTCAAACTCTGCGTGAATTACTTTTACGCAGAGTAATTTTACTCTAGTATCTGTACTTTCACTTAAGTAACAAAATGGAGTACTGTATCTGTGTAATTACTGGGCCTATCCACATGAAACAAAAACTGGCACAAAGTTGGGCGTCTTCTCTGTCAGTATAAATAAACAGAAGTGATTTTTTTTTCCACAATCGCTTCAGAAAGTTGTGCCATTTTTCTTTTATCCAACTCTTAAGACGTGATTGTTGTCAGTTGAAATGACTTTAAACCATAAAATTAATATGACAAGTCTGTGGAGCCGATCCCAAACGAATAATAATGAGAAGCTTCAACATTTGTGGATCAGACGTTTAGAGATTTCTTTCAAAAAGCCCCTGCTCTTCATTTAAAATCATATTCTGAATGCAACTTATTAAAATACACCAATGAATTGTTTCAAAAATACCAAGACTAGAGCTCTCTTTATATATTAATTAGACATTTCATTGTGCTTTTAAATATTTAGTAAAGTTTGGGCAGTCTCAAATGAAATCACGATATAAAAACATGGTCTTAAAATCTATTTACACATAAAACATCTGTGACATCTTTATTCCCTTTAGTCTAATGTAAAGTCTACCTTGTGTTTCAACCATGTAAATGTAAAACTATTCTATTTGTGGACTCAGATCCTCAGTCCAGTCCCGGCCCGGTTCTGGTCTGGTTCTGGTCCGGTTGAGATCCAGGTCTAGATGGACTCACAGTCTCCAGGGTCCACTTCAGTCCTGCATCTCGGCTCCAGACGGGTCCTCTGTCACGTCCGACCCTGCAGCTACAGCAAACACACATTAAACATTACAAACACTGTTACACAATGTATTTCTTATTAAATCACACATGTGTAAAATCCCTCAGTCATCCAGGTACAATCTATGGGAAAAGGAGAAATTCTATTTGTCAACTGGACAAAAGTGGTTCCTACAAGCACAGAAGGAGAGGAGAAAGAAGAACGTGTACAGAAAGTCCTCTCTGTCTGTGGAGTTTGTGGACTTTTGGGCTTTCAATAAAACAAAGAGAGCTAAAAAACAAGACAACAGAGAATCAGAATCCAGATGAAAGGGTTCCTTACATGCCAGGTGTTTCTGAAAAACACCAGCCATGTCTATTTCAGTCTATTTCAAACCCACAAACACTTTAAGACAGAAACTGTTTCACCCAAAGGACAAAACAGTCACAAACAAAGCAGTGTGCTCTACTCCATTCAGTGTTCAGTGTGAAGACTGCAGTGAACGCCACACTGGAGAAACAAAACAGACACTTCACAACAGGATGAACCAACACAGAGGAGAGAGCAACACAGGACCGCAGTCTTCTGTAAACCTCAGTTTGCTGTACATCTCCACCTAAAAGGACCTCAGTCTACTGTACATCTCCAAATAAAAGGACCTCAGTCTGCTGTACATCTCCAAATAAAAGGACCTCAGTCTGCTGTACATCTCCAAATAAAAGGACCTCAGTCTGCTGTACATCTCCAAATAAAAGGACCTCAGTCTGCTGTACATCTCCAAATAAAAGGACCTCAGTCTGCTGTACATCTCCAAATAAAAGGACCTCAGTCTGCTGTACATCTCCAAATAAAAGGACCTCAGTCTGCTGTACATCTCCACCTAAAAGCCACAGGCAACTCCTTTGAGGAAAGTGAGGTACAGATCTGAGCCAGAAAAAATTATTGGTTTGAGAAGGGAGTTAAAGATGCTATTTTTGTTAAGAAACAGAAATGGAGGCCTCAGACACCATTGATCTCCTATTTACAACTCCATCCTCAAACCTAAAACAAAACAGCCTAAGAGAATAATAGTGAGAAGGAGGTCAGGTCCAGAGGTGTGAAAGCCTGAATGATTCTGCTGATATGACCCACACTCAGTACAGTTCAACAGACTGAGCTAACAAACAGAAACTGTAAACATGTGTGTGTTAGTTTCAGAGGAGTTTCAGTGTAGTTAGCTCCTCCCTTCAGGCAGATATAAGGAAGTGACATCCAGCGTCTGACCACAACTGAAGAAGCAGCTTGGATGAGCTGAGAAACATGTTCAACCAAATCAACTTTTTGTCCAGATGATAAACTGAATTTCTCCTTTGTCATTAAATCACATAAAATATCATAGGGTTTAATTACTAAGTTCCATTTTTAATATAATTTATTTGGTGGAGGGTTTGCCACCTGCTTGTCTCCATAGAGATTTGCATGGAATATTCCACAGTCAGGCATTACACGCAGACAAGTAAAGCAGTAACAACACCAAGTCAAGTTACAAGTCAGATCTGTCAAATGGCGAGCCTACGCAGAGTAAGAATTCAGCATTTTTATTCATATTAAAAGCCATACTTTGGAACATTCCAGGCGCATCAGCATCTCCAAGAAGACACCCCCCAGTCGCAGAATCGTAAAAAAGGGAACCTATAAATGATTAAAGGTTGGCAAAATTGACTCTTGTGAACTTTTAGCCTTGTTCTAATGTTTTTACCTCCTCAAAAACAGAGCTGGACTTGTGTTTTGTTTCATTCACATGTTTAAATAACTCTTTAATTATTAGTCTGTTTGCATCTCCAAAGCTCAAAATGCTCTGCCCCACCTCGTGATGTCATATAGTGTTAGTTTAAGTGAACAGCTCCTTTTACCGCTTGTCCAGAGATTGGCAACTCAAGGGTTGAAATGATCCAAATGATTCTAGTAAAGGTGTATGGGGTTTAAAAACACAGTGGAGCACTTGTGCAACAGTGTTTTCAGTTTGAGAGAAGAGCTCAGTCTAAATGTGCAGGTTTGTGTGTACAACATATGTGAATGAACCAAAACACAACTCCAGGTCTGTGTGTGATGAGGAAACGACATTAGAAGAGATCAGAAAAAGCGTCATATGGGCCTTTTAAATATTCTAATAGAATACTGTCCAAATGATTCTTCCTATACATGGTCAAAAAAGAAAAGAAAAAGTTGATATAACCACAATCTCTCATTTAGAAAAACACACCTAAAAAAGTGGTTTAATAACAAAATAATAGATGTGAAGACTCTTAAACTGTCACAAAGAAAGACATGAAACTCACCATAGCAATTCAAGTTTAAGCAAAGAGACTTGTAATTTCATATACTGCGATGGCCTCTGATATTGTAAGACTTTTGATGATACAATATTGT